ACCAGATGAAGCTGCACTTCATCGTGGAGGGCGTTGCGGGGAAATATGCATTCAAGGGATCGAAGCGGTGGAAGTGCAAGTACTGCGAGCACCGTTTCATTGGGACTGCGACGAAACTCACGAAACACTTCCTCGTAAAGTGCAGCCTTGACTATTGCACTACGGAAATGTCGGTGGAGGAGAGGGTGAGGAGGGAAGAGGGGATAAGGCAAGGGAAGTGGCTTGCTCGTGTGCTGACGCACGGAGAGGCACCAGGGTCCGGGCCCAGCAATTCGCAAACCGTCGCTGAAAACGCCCCTCAGTTTCGTAGCTCGGAGGTGGGTGCAGCGGGCATCACCGATGAAACACCCATGCCTCAATCGACTACAGGCACAATTCCTGGATCGAAGGCATCGAAGGCAGTTCCAAAGGGACCTTTGCGGCAGACACTGATCGAGGAGGCCGACAGTGTTATCACGCACAACGAGCGGACGAGTCGATTTCTTGACAGGTTTCTAACCTGCACAAACCAGCCGTTCAGTTTGGTGGAGGATGAGTATTTCCTGGAGTTCATTGACGCGGTGAAGAAGGCCCATCCGACGTGGATGCCGTGCAGAAGGGATGAGCAAAGGACGAAACGGCTGGACGCTGACTACGCGCGGGTTGGGGCGGAGGTGCGCTCGATGATCCCGAAGTGGAAGAAGTCCGGGTGTATGCTGCAGATGGACGGGTGGTCCGATCGCCGGAACAAGCCCCATTTGAATGTTATGGTGTCCTCCGCCAGTCGGTACGGTCTTTTGGAAGTCAATGTGCATAGAGGGCAAGGTGAAGGATGTTGAAGCTTACTTTCGTGTCTTGGATGGGGTCATCAAAGAGATCGGAGCGGACGCAGTCGTTGGTGTCGTCATGGACAACGCAAGGGTGTGCGTAAAGGCAGAGAAGATGGTGGAGGCCGCCTATCCGAACATCTTTCGCGTCGGATGCACTGCGCATGCGCTCGATCTTGCGCTGGAGGACATGTATAAGCACATGCCTTGGATGGCGGAGGTGGTTAATGCCGGGAACAAGGTCGGCAAGTTTTTCACGAATGTGGACAAGGCGACGGCCATGTTCCACAACTACTCACCGAAGACGAAGTTGAAGCGCCCTGCGGCAACCAGATTTGCCACCAACTTCACGATGCTCGAGTCTTTGAAGGAACTGAAGAATGCACTGGATCGCTGCGTTTGCGATGTGGGATGGGTGGCGAAGATAGAACGGGCAGAGCAGTTAGTGGCGTTCAACAAGGTGACGGCCATCATTCTAGACAAGGGCGAGTTTTGGAGCAACGTCAACAAGGCGATCGATGTGATGCAGCCCGTAGTGGAGCTGCTTCGGCTGGTCGATGGACAAGGACCGACCATTTCAAAGGTGTACTTCAAAATGGATCGGGTTGTTCAGCTCATGCGTGCCCTGGAGTGCCTTTCAAGTGACGAGCACGAGGCGGTGGAGCGGATCCTCATGGACCGCTGGTCATTCATGACCAGCGAGCTGCATTGCGCTGCWGCCTTCYTGRATCCTGAGCACCGAATGCAGAACGCGCAGCGTGACCCGGAGGTTCGCGCAGGATTCAACATCTGGCTATACTCCTGGATGCCACGAGATAAGCGCAAGGAAGTGAGCTTCCAGGTTGACYAGTGGGTCAACGCTTTAGGAGGGTTCTCCAAAGAGGAGGCGCGCGAGCAAGCCAGCCAGCAGCCACCAGCTTTGTGGTGGGAGGCGTTTGGATCCAAACACGACCTCCTTGCACCGCAAGCCATCAAATTGCTTGGCCAGGCAAGCTCCTCCGCTGCTTGTGAGCGGAACTGGAGCTTGCATGAGCTCATCTACGGGATAAGGCGCATGAAGCTCATGCCGAAGAGGATGGCCAAGCTCGTGTACAACAGCTGGAATGTCCGCCTTCTGAAGAGCATTCGGCGCGGCGGGGGGGATGAAATCCACATCCCATGGGCGGATGACGTCCCGGTGGACAAGGAGATGGAGGACTGGTGCGCAGATTGGCTGAAGCGTGTCCACGGAGAGGTGGAAGAAGAAGAGGTGGTTGTGGCGGACGTCGAAGACGAGAAAGACGACTTTCCACTGCAGCGCACCTTCCAGCGCAATGACGAGGTTGACGAGAGGCTGTGTGAGGAGGAGGACTCTGTTCTCGTCGGTACAAGGGAGCGCGATTGGCACCAGTGCACGAAGCCCGTGAAATACCGTGAGCGTGAGTTGCGCAGGAGATCAGGCAACGAGCTGCCCGTGCCTGAGGAGTTGTATACGGAGGAGGGCTACGCTCTTGCGTTGGCAGCTTGACGGGCAGGCACATGGGTGGAGGGTCGGGAGGAGGGACCACGGAGGGGGCACACAAACAAGGGCAAAGAGAAGCCCGGTGACAACGCGCCCGTGCAGCGTGGCAAAAGGAAGGCTGTTGAGCAAGAACAGCCACGACCGAAGAGGGGCCGTCCCACATTGGCGGAGCAGGCAGAACGCAGGGCACGAAAGGCGGAAGAGAAGGCCGCCAAGGCAGCAGCTGACGCTGCCGCAGCAAAAGCTGCTGCGGCCAAAGACGTTGCGGCCAAAGCCCGAGCGTCGGCGAAAGCCGCCGCGAAGAACGCTGCCGCTGGGAAGACGAAGAGAGTCGCCATCATAAATGATGACAACGATGAGGATATCCCGAAAGACATCCGGGGAGACGAAGAGCTCGAAGGCTCAACATCAACTTCTTCCAGCTCAAGTGACATATCTGATTCCTGTGGGGGGGAGGGAACGGAGGAGAGTGACGAGGAAGAAGACGGTGACGGTGAGGCGCAGCCGGAGGAGAGCGAGGAGGAAGAAGGGGAACAGGCGGCGTAGGGTGCACCCGCTGTGCTGTTTTGGCAGACAAACTCAAGTTACTAAGCAATTTGAATGTTGAACTTGTGGATCTTTTTCATATAAGTTTCTAACTTTTTGTCAAGTTTTCTGTTGTCTTTCTCATTCTTTGCTGTGTGTGGTGCATCATCGATTGTTCATAGTTTGTTTCCTGTGTTTTTGTGATGCCATACCGCCGCTCGATTGCATGGATGCAATGAATGCCTGCTGTCGTGTTTTGTCTTCGCACTCCAAATGCAGGTGAGTGGGACACCCCCCCCCCTTTCAACCACTCGAATCACAAAGAAAGGAAAAAAAAAAAAAAAGGAACAGGAAGAAAAAAAAAGAACAGGAAGAAAATAAAACAGAGTTCACTGTTTCACTAACTCTAAACTACCTGGACCTGCGTGGACAGAACGGTACACAGGCCAGACCTGTGCTCGGGAAAAATGCACTGTCTTTAATGATTCGGCGCACTGTGCGCAGAGGTCCCGAGGCCCTGTGCGCGCAGCGCACCGCGCACAAGTGCGCACAGCGCACGGCGCACAGTGCGCTCACCGAAAAAAGGCCGCACTGCGCACAGCGCGCCGCACCGCACCGCACAGCGCACCGCACCAGGGCGCCGCAAGTATGGACATTATCTTATGACATATTGGTATATTTTCCTTTCAACACTAATGCAGATACCTCTAGGACTTTAGAATTGTACCATGCTACATTTCATTTCCTGCTGGTAGCTAGGATGAGTATATCAGATATTCGTCCCTCATCATAGATGACTACCCCATGTTCGGTTTCTTGGCCTTGTCCGTGATATAGGGGCTACTACTTCGTTTTCTTTTTCCGTTGGGTTTTGCCCGAACCTTCAGGATGCACGTTATTAGTAGATCTGGGGCATCCACCCGGCCATATACCAAAGAGGAACAGGCAGAGATCTATATACCAGGCCATCAAGAGAGAGGAGGAGGAGGTAAAAAAAAAGCAAAAAGAGGTGGAATTGAAAAACAAAATGGAAGAAGAAAAAAGAAGAAAGAGGAGGAGATGGAACAGATGGAGAAAGAGATGGAAAAGAGATTGGAGGAGGAAACAAAGGCGGTAGACAAAGAAGGAGAAGGGGAAGAAGAGGAAAGATTGGAGAGAAGGAGAAGAGATTTGCCAAAGGAAGAAAAGAATGACGGTGCAAAAAGCAGCCAGGCCGGTAAACAAAGGCGATAGACAAAGAAGGAGAAGGGGAAGAAGAGGAAAGATTGGAGAGATGGAGAAGAAAAAGGTCGAAGGAAGAAAAGAATGACGGCGCAGAAAGCAGCCAGGCCGGCCACCTCATAATCCACCAAACGAATGATGAAGATTGGGTGAAAAAATTTGCGTTTCGCACTGAGATGCCAAGGAATCAGAGGAGGAGAGAAGGGAGTTTGGAGCGAAAATGGAGGCAGCCGCTGATGGCAAAGAAAGGGATCTACTAATTGCAGAAAGGAATAATGCCCTACACCACGGACTGTTAGCCCAAAAAGGGAGGGAGTTCGATGAGAAGAGGATAAAGGAAGGGGAAAGGCTCCAGCAGAAATTGAGGGAACAGCGAGGTAAGAAATTCGAAGTTAAAGAAAGTTTGACCCTTGCAATTGATGCCTTGCAGCATACCGCCCTGCAGAAAACCATAGGAGAAATCGAACACCACCAAGACGATTTCCAAGGAACATGGAACAACTTCCTCTCTGACTCCTCCCGTCGAATTGTCGATAGGGTTGTCAACTAGGCCCATCAACTAGACAACCTTTTCACCCAAAAACTCACAAAAACCATTGCAACAGTGAGGTTAGGTGTTTGTGGCAGAGGTGGAGACAAATATGGTGGACATGGTGGAGATGACGGTGTAGACGATGGAAAGGGAGGCAAAGTCCCAAAGAAGGAACGAGATCGACATGGGGATCAAAGACAATCTGATGAGGGGGGAAGAAGAGAGAAAATGAAGGTGAAGCTCCCCTGGACATACAATGGGAAGAGAGAAAATCATTTTTACCAGTGAGATGCACCCATATGCACAGTTGATTCCATATTGGGACCGCGTATTGATGGCGAGCTCACGCCTTGGGGGGGATGCCGCCAACCTCACCATATCATTGGTGAAGGAGGCAGGCTGCTTTTCGAAGGTATTCCCAACGCACCCGTATAGAGGACTTCCTGAAGGCCCTGAAAGAAAGGTTCGAAGATAAGAACCTGGCCCGGTGCACCAAACACTTGATCCAAGGTTCGAAGATAAGAACCTGGCCCGGTGCACCAAACACTTGATCCTTAAACCGCTAGCACACAGCCCCAGCCTTGCAGAAAGTTTTTGTCAGCAAAACTCGGAGGCGCCGCGCTGCCAGGCCCGCCGTTGAAAAACAAAATCGGCAGCCTCCAAAGTGGTGTGTATTTCATGCTGACACCCGCGGGCAGATATGTGGTGTACTGGTGCTTTAACATAGGCGACCGGGAATGAAAGAGTGTTGCAGCGTTGAAACTTGAAAGCCATTATGGATGAGCTATTGCAGTGTCCAATTGAATAATTTCGCCGAAGCAATTCCCAACCCCCTCAGGACTAATCTGTACCCTTGAACTAAGAGGAAGGTATGACGTACGAGAAGTTTAGTAAGCTCGTCATAGACCAGGCCGGTTTCCTGCAAGAGGCTAACTACTGCCACTACTGGAAGGATTTCCAAAAAGGAGGCAAGTGGAGAAACAAGACTATATCCGAGAACATACAGGGAAAGGATAGCATTCTGGTCACATTTGAGGAACATAGACTATGGACTGGAAGAGTCGCACAGCAACTGTTCAGCTCAAGGAGGGGACTTTTGCGGCTGTTGCAGCCCACAGGAGAGGGTGACAAGGAGGAAGAGGAGGTCGAGGAAGAGGTGGAGGTAGAGGACCTAGCGCCCAAGGGAGTAGTAGCGACAGATGCTGTTACGCAGGTGGTAGGGGTAATGGTTCCCCGCAAGGTGGGCGTGGTTCTCCCTTCAGTGGGTGAAGAGGTACAGTTTGCAAGCCATATCCCGCTCACCCAAGGCTTGCAGAAGGCAAGCCGTGGGATAAGATGAACATGACGTACCACCTACGGAAGCAACGTCTTGAGGCCAACAAGTGCCAAGTGTGGTGACCCAAACCACATTGCCCCCTTTTGCCCTGAATGCAGGTGCCCAAAAGGGAACAGCCAGTAGGAGTCGCAATTGCTCTTGCTGGGTCTTCAGACATAGACAGATAGAAGCGCACGCTGAGCAGGCACCCTCCTGTCTGAAGGCCCCACTAGCAGAGACTGATGTAGGCCGCAACCTAGTTGGCTGCCTAGAAGTCACTTGTACCAAAATCTCTCTAGGTTGCTCCCTTGCAGGCATCGGTGATGAGCTGATCACTCGTCGCCAAGCTTGGGTTGAAATGAAGAAGAAAGCAAAACAGCAGCTAATAATAGCAGATGCAGAAGTGAGTAGAGGAGTGGGCACGTTAGTTGATAGTTGATCGACGCGTAACTACATCAGCCGAAGAGGTTTGCAGACAATGCATCTCAAAATGAAGATAAAAAAGTTCGATGAGCCAGGAATCAGTAAGCTGGCCGATAATAGAGAGATGGTTTTGAGTGACTACGTCGAAGGGGTGAAGGCATTCTTCCGATTGGAGGGGACTAAGGTGGAGAGAGTTTTGGACTCCCTAACCCTCTTAGGGAAGAATAGCCTTCCCTTTGACTTGATCCGAGGGGCAGATTGGGGAGAGGCCGCAAAGGCTGACTCAAAGATGAGCGAGCACGAGTGATGGCTGGACAGCCCTGAGGGGAGCAAAAAGAAAGTGTGGTTGTTCCATGAGTCGAATGTCGAGTCCGATCGGTCCCTCTATTGCATGAGTGCCCCCGCGTTCGCCAAGCCCGTGGTCAAGAGCGATTTAGTTGACCAAGTATTTGTAGACGACCATGTGACGTCGGTGAGCGAGAGCAAAAAGGAGGAGAACACACCACTAGCAGTAGACAGATTGCTGGAAGAGTTCGTAGAGGTGGGAGAGGGCCCAATTGGCATAACAGAAAGGGAAATTAAGCACAGGATCGAAACAGAACCCAGTAGCAAGATCCCCAAGGGTCCCATTTACCAAATAACCCCCAAGGAGCTCGATGAGCTGCGCAAGCAGCTTGATGAACTAATTGAGAAAAGGTGGATTAAGCCTGGCTCGTCGCCAAACGGCGTTCCGGTTCTATTTGCGCCAAAGAAAGAGGGTGAATTGTGTATGTGCATAGAGACTATAGAGGACTGAACGCCATATCGATCAAGAATGTCAAACACTTGCCACAAAAAGATGATCTATTGGATAGGGTGCAGGGATGCGAGTATTTTCCCAAGACTGATTTGAAGTCGGGGTACCATCAGATACAGGTACAGCCCAAAGACCAGCATAAGACAGCCTTTAAAACTCGCTACGGCCATTCCAAGTTTGTGATCATGCCATTTGGTGAGGCGAACGCCCCTGCTACCTTTCAATGATGCATGAACGACCTCTTTCATGAGTGGCTAGATAAATCCGCTGTTGTCTGTTTAGATGATATTTTGATCTTTAGTAAGACTCTTGAGAGGCACCAGCAGCATCTGCACTTGAAGCTGTGCACCACAAAGTTCAAGCTGAACCCAAAGAAGTGTGAGCGGGCCAAGCACCAAGCATTATACCTAGGCCATGTGCTACATGGAGATGGGAGTCCAACCGATGGACACAAAACTCGGATTGTTCTTAGGACTGGCCAATTACTATTGAAAGGTTGTGCGGAACTTCACTAAGGAAGGAGACAGTTTGGAATTGGGACAAAATGTACCTCAGCCTTCAAGAATTTGAAGAAATCGCTAATAGAGTACCGGGTCCTAAAGATAGCAGACCCATCACTTCCATTTATAGTCACGACGGATGCGAGCCAATATGGAATTGGCGCTGTACTCCAGCAGAACGATGGGGACCGGTATAGGCTCGTAGAATTCATGTCTTGCAATCATTGGGTTTACGGGCATTCACTAACAGTGCCAGCGATAGAGATAGTAGATTCACGGGCTAGCACTGGCAGCAACTGATGAAGGTAAATGGGTCAAAGTTGACCATGTCATCCGGTGGGCGTCCGGAGACCAAACTGGGCAGATGAACAAGCTGCTCCAGCACGTGCTGTGCATGTACATGAGGCCCAACCAGATCGATTGGGACAAGCATCTTCCCAAAGTGCTAACTCGGTGAACCTGACCAT